AAGAAATAAAAAAGAAACGGAGACAGGGGTGCCTAGCTGGCTCTGTCAGTGGAGTGTGCAACTCTTGATCTCAAGGCTGTGGGTTCGGGTCCCACATGGGGTGTAGAGCTTACTTAAAAAAAATAAATCTTAAAAATTTTCTGAGATAATTTACATACCACAAAATGCATCTCTTCCAAGTATATGATTCGGTGGTTTTTAGCCATTCAGAGCTGTGAAGCCGTCACTACCATCTGAGTTCAGAACATTGCTCTCACCTCAGAGAGAAACCCCGTACCCACAGGGCGTCCCTTGCACCATTCCTTTCCCGTATGCTGGGAACCTACCACTCTACTCTCCGTATCAGTAGATTTTCCCTTTCAGGACTTTCACAGAAATGGAACCATACAGCACGAGGTCTTTTGTGCCTGGCTCCTTCCCCTTAGCATTTTGTTTTCAAGTTTCCCCCATGCTGTAGCGTGCATAAGAGCCTTGCTTTTTCTAGCTGAATACCACCCCGCTGTGTAGGTGTACTACATTTCGTTTGTCCGTCCATCCACTGATGAACATCTGGTTGGTTTCCACTTTTTGGCTCTAATGAATAATGCTGCTATTCCTGTACAAGGTTTTGTGTTGACATGCTTTCAGTTCTTTGAGGCATATACCTAGGAGTGGCACTGTGGGGTCGTATGGTAACTCCCAGGCTGAGATGAGTTTCTTTCTCTTTCTTTTTCTTTCTTTCTTTCTTTCTTTCTTTCTTTTTCTTCTTCTTCTTCTTTTTTTTTTTTTTTAAAGATTTTACTCATTTTGACAGAGAGAGACACAGTGAGAGAGGGAACACAAGCAGGGAGAGTGGGAGAGGGAGAAGCAGACATCCTGCTGAGCAGAGAGCTGGATTTGGGGCTCGATCCCAAATGGGATCATGGGATCATGACCTGGGCTGAAGGCAGATGCCCAATGACTGAGACACCCAGGTGCCCCACTGAGATGAGTTTTTTAAAGCAACAATCACGGGACACCTGGGTGGCTCAGTTGGTTAAGCGGCTGCCTTCGGCTCAGGTCATGATCCCAGCGTCCTGGGATCCAGTCCCATATTGGGCTCCTTGCTCGGCAGGGAATCTGCTTTTCCCTCTGTCTCTGCCTGCCTCTGCCTACTTGTGATCTTTCTCCCTCTCTCTCTCTGACAAGTAAATAAATAAAATCTTTAAAAAAAAATTTTTTTAAAGCAAGAATCACGTCTGGGGCCAGACCCCCAGGAGGCTCTCAGCCCAGGTTTGCTGCATGCTGAAATGTGGACAAGCTGCTGGAGAGAGAGGCAGAGCCTTTCTAGATGGGAGACCACCCAGGGCACAGTTCAGAGGATGAAACTGGCTTTTGTATTGTGTTACAGGTGCTTCAGGGGGCCAGCGCCTTGGGGAAGCAGGTTTGACAGTGGCCTGGGAAACCCCTCCATGGAAGGAAGACTGGATTTCACGCAAGGGGCAGGAGGGAGTGAGAGCTGGGTCTGGGGCAGGGCAGGACTTGCAGGAGTGGGAAAATTAGAGGTAGAGAAGGAGACCGTGAGTACGGCAGAGGGGAAGAACTCTAGCCTTCAATAAAGAGTGTGCATGCAGGGGAGAGAGGCCAAGGTGAGGCTGGGAGAAGGACAGGGAAGGTCTGAAAGCCATTTATCTACCCTGATGCCTTTGAGATAAAGGGGTCTCCCAACTGCCCAAGGTGGTTAGACAGGTCCCCAAGAAACCAGGAAGAAAAACCCCTAACCTTTTATCTAAATACCACTTTCTCTTTCCTATCTGACAAAGCACATACCTATACACCCTGCCAACGGGGTGACTTTGTGTTCTCGTCTCTGAATGGCTCCTCGATCCCGATAAGCAAGATATTTCTCTCTCTCTCTCTTTTTTTAGATTTTTATTTATTTATTTGAAAGAGAGTACAAGCAGCGGGAGCAGCAGGCAGAGGGAGAAGAAGCAGGTTCCCACTGAGCAAGGAGCCTGATGTGGGGCTCGATCCCAGGACCCCAGGATCAGGACCTGAACCGAAGGCAGAGGCTTAACTGACTGAGACGGGGGCAGGGGATAAGGGGTTGTAGGGGGTCCTGATCCTACCCTGAGCAGAGAGCTCCTGTCCTGTCCTGTCCGACTCTAACATCCAAGGCTGTTCAAATGCGGACCCTCCAATGCATGTCCCTGCGGAGGCATTCAGAATCCCTCTTCAGCCCTGGTCCTCAGTCTGGGCCAAGCAGTAGTCAGCTCTTGACTTGAGCTGCCCCGTGCCTCTCGGGGAGTCCGTCCACAACATCTGGCTCTCGCCATGTGTCAAACCAACCCCTCCCCCATGCTCTCACCAGTACCAGCCTGGAGCACTAGCGCTATCTGGTAATCACTTAAGCTGAAAAGCGTATGGGGGTTGGGGTGGGGGGTACTAGCATCTGAACTTGCAGTGAGGGCCCACAGAGTTAAGCTTTAGTGGTTGGTTTCCGAGCTTTGTTTTGAGAAATTGGGGATTGTGACAAGCTGTCAGGTCCAAGCTGGGTAGTGACTCCCGTGGACACACAAACCACCCCTGTTGCCACACCTTTCATTCCCACTGAAGTCTACTTTGCTCTTAGCCAAAGGGAAGGGTTCTTCCTGACATTTTGTTTTGGGGGCAGGAGGACTGAGGTCTCGAATTTAAATGTGAACTTGAACTGATAGGACTTAATGCCCTCCACCGCACCCTACCCCCACCCTCAGATCCCAGCAGGAAGCCCCAGAGGCCCTGGGTTTCCTTCCCAGGAGTGTCAGCTCAGGAATCCGCAACCCATATGTCTGTGTCTGGAGAGGACAGGGTGTAACTTGTGCCCTACACAGTTCACGCTGACTGCTCATGAAGCAAGAGCCATTTCCCACGCATCTGCTTCTAGAGACGAATGCCTGTGTTCAAATCTTGACGTAAACAGCGGTGTGGTATGACCTGGGGCAAGTGTCTTGCCCTCTCTGTGCCTCAGCTTCCTTATGCACAAAATAGGGAGAAAATAGTACTAATCCGTAGGGCTGGGGGGAAGACAAATGTCAGTACAAGTGAGGTACAGAGAGCAGTGCCCGGCCTTGAGCGACAGTTCGGTGAAGTTAGTTATTACTGTTACCAATATCATTTTTCTTTCCCGCGAGCCCCAGGACCCTTTCCACTGCCTGCTCAGAGCTCCTGGTTAAGGAGGGAGCCAGTGATCGAGGTGTGGAGCAAGTGAGGGAGACAGGGCCCAGCTGGGTGTGGATCTCTGTTGTTTTCACAAAACCTGGCTCTTCAACCTGCCATTTAGAATAATCCTCATTCCCCTTTCCTGTTCTTTGCACTACCCCAGGTCCTAAAAAATTCCAGGTAAGGTCCTAAAAAATTCCAGGTAAGCTTTTGTAAGTCAAAATACTTTTTAAAAAGAAAGAAGGAGAAACAGAAAAAACACCCTGCTAGATTTCTAATTAAACCTCGAGGCAGAATCAGGAAGGATCTTGAGATTTTTTTGAAGATTTTCTATATCCCCCATGCATCCAATCTTATATAAAACCCACAGAAAAACCAGCATACACAAGACTTGCTTCTTCAGAGGAGGATTCTTCCATTTACAAGAGAATTTGATAATGGGGCTAATCACACCCTAATTGGTAATGATTTGTCAGCTGGGTGCCTTAAAGTGGGGTCTATCTATGTGACACCTGCATTCTCTCCATCAGCTCCAGAAGCAAGGTGGATAGGAAAACCCACTCTCATGTGGAGGAGTGAGCCAAGGGGGGAGAGCAACTGGCCCAGAAAGCATCCCCCCCTCCAGATGTTTCTCTGGGATAGCCTAACTATGGTTTTGTTCCTGGCCCTCTGCTTGCTTGAGTCGGTGCAGTCCAGAAAACCAGCCAGCCAGAAGCTGGGGCTAGGGAAATCTCCAGCTTGCAAGTCATCTATTCCCTGCTTTGGGTCTGTTTTCCCAGCTGCACTAGGAGAGCGAATCCTGCTGCCTTTCCAGAGGGCTCTGCGGGGGCGGCCCTGTCCAATTTAAGGCCGGAGACTGAGGCTCTGCAGAAGCATACAAAGGGGCATCTCTGGGGCCATGGCAGGCAGAAGCTAGAGTTCTGCCCTGGGACAGAGATGGAGGAGTAAGGCCGGGTGGGAGAAGTGGAGGGGTCTCCTGGCACCAGAGATGGGGGGTCGCCTTGCCAAGGTGCGCCTGAGACACCCCACGCCTCCCCCACATGGCCCTAATGGTCAGGTCCTGAGTGTCTCAGAGGCAGAAGGGCTTGGCCTCCAGGGGATAGTGCGGGAACCCGCAGTCTCTCGGAAGCAGGACCACACAGGACCCAGCGGCCCCGAGGCCCCCCGGGGGAGAAGGAACAGCCGACTAGCGTGTGTCCGCTGCACCAGAGCCGAGGGTGTGCGTGGAGCCCGCCCCGGGGCGCTCTGTCAAGCAGCAGCCCGCTCTGGCACCTAGCATGGCCCCTGAGGGGACACTCCCACTCCTTCCACCTCACTTCCAATTCCGCCCCCGGCAGCAGGGGCTACTGCCCAAGCTTGGAGCCGCGGAGCAGGAGGAAGACTCTCCCGCCGCCGCCAACTCCATCACCCCTGGCCCCGTGGCGCGCGCGGGCGGGGCGGCGGGTGAGAGCCGGGTTTAGCTCCTCACCCCCGGGAGCGAAGGCAAATAAATAATCCCGAAGTCACCTTCAGTCCCTGGAGAGACTTTTCCGGGGAGAGCTGGGGTGGGGGAGGGAGGCAGTCCTTCAGCTAAGGCGGGGCGCGGCTGGCGGCGCGGGGAGAGGTGGTCGTCGCCCGCCCGGAGGCTGGGGCGCCGGGCAGCCTCAGCTCCGCGGGGGCAGGGACGCGGCGGCGGCAAGGGGAGGGGAGGGAAGGGAAAGGAAAGGACGGGAAGGAAAGGAAAGGAAGGGAAGGGAAGGGTCGGCGCGGCCGTGCCGAGGAGCGGCGGGGGAGGGGGGCTAGAGGGCTGCGGGGCTGCGGGGCTGCGGGGCTGCGGGGCTGCGGGCGCGCCGGGCACTCACGTCCTCTTGAAGACGCCCCCGAGGGCGCTGCCCAGCAGGAGGCAGAGCTGCTGCGAGAAGAAGACCCAGGAGATCTGGGGCAGCGAGCTGTGCGTCTGGCAGCGCAGGTCCAGCAGCGTGGGCCCCAGGAAGGCGATGCACAGGCCGAAGCTGAAGAAGACGCTCCAGTAGGTGAGCGTGGGCTGCAGGTTGCGGCGGAGCAGCCCGGACACGCGGCCGTCGCAGCCCATGGCCCCGGCTGGCGGGCTGGCGGCTGTGGCTCCGCGCGCCGGTGCCCGAGTGCCGCGCCGCCCGCGGGAGGGCCGGCTGGGCCCGGGAGGCCGGCGGCCGGGAGGGAGGGGCGGGGAGGGGCGGCCCGGCGAGGGGCCCCGCCCTCGGGCCGGGGGAGCGAGGGGGGCGCGTGTGCGGCCGCCGGGCACCGCGTCGGGGTCCGCGTCCTCCTCGCGCGGCCCGGGAGCCGGCGTCCCCCCTGCTTCCCGAACCCACGCTCACCCTCCCGGGCTGCGGGAGACCGACCGCCTGCCGCTCTTCGCTCCCACCCCCTCTCCAGCTGCCCGTCCCACCCGCGTCCTTGCACGGCCCGCCCGGGGGCGGCGGGGCCTGAGCCCCCATTGCAGAGCTGGGCGAACTGAGCCCGAGACGTCCTGGATGCTCGCACAGCCTGGAGGGCGGGCTCTTCCAGCGCTCCGCGTCCGCTCGGGGAGCGACAGTTCCCCCCCAGACTCCAGCCTGGCTTGGGCTCTGCCGTGGAGGAACCCCGGAGCACAGCCCCCTACACATCGGGGGCTTCACAGATGGACTTCGAGGGTCTGACAGCGCCCCCATCTTTCCCTGGAATAGAAGACAATCACCTACATACATGCTTTTCTTGGGAGAGTATTCATGGCTTTCGTTAGCACCTCAAGAGGGTGAGCACTTGCGACAGAAAACCTTATGAAACATCCCATCTTCATGCCAAGCTCCGCCCGAGAGCTGGTCTTCGCCGGCCGCATCTCATGGGGCGCTGGACAGGTGCAGGAGGTGGCAGGATGCAGATGTTCTGTCCGGATTCTCTCTCCTTCTTCCTGGTGGGGAGTGGGGAGGAGGAGTGGGGAAGGAAAGGGCAGAGATCTGGAGGAATCCCATGAGGAATTCTGAAAAAATTCTTTGGGTGTTTTGGGCCTAGAGTTCTGAGGAAAATTCCTGTTTTGTTTTGTTTTGTTTTGTTTTTAATGCTGGAAAACCCCGGATGGGGTTGTGGGGGGAGAGATGTTAGTCTCCAGACCCGTAGTTCTTGGAGGAGCCTGTGGCTGACACAGCCTGTGCCTCCCCCCAGGTGGCCATGGAACTGACAAGTCCTGCTTGGACCAGCTTCTGGGGGAGCCAGGGTTCCTGCATTGGCCTCTGGAGGCAGAGCAATACGTTCCAGACTGTCACCTCTGCTCAGGTGTTCTAGGGGTGGCAGAAGCCATGACATCATGGCCACTGGCCCTCCAGGGGGAACCAGAGCTGAAGCGGCTGAGGAGGTAGGAGGGTGGGTCCTCTCCTGACAACTTGGCCTGAGGACAGGTAACCAACTTCTCCTGCAGGTACTGGTTGTGTCTCACAGCCACACTTGCTCCCGCATCTGCTCCATCCGCCCTAGACTCTGAGTGCCTGGGAGCAGAGCCTCAGGGTCTCTGTGGCTTGGTGGTTTGGGAGGTTATAAGAATTATTTATTCAGTGGTGGTAAGTGAGTCTACACAGTATTTGTGATTCAATCAGAAGTTATCCTCTGTGGGGTGCCTGGGTGGCTCAGTGGGTTAAGCCTCTGCCTTTGGCTCAGGTCATGATCTCTGAGTCCTGGGATGGAGCCCACCCCGCCAACACCCCCTCTCCCCGCATTGGCCTCTCTGCTCAGCAGGGGGCCTGTCCCCCCCCACCCCCACCTGCCTCTCTACCTACTTGTGATTTCTGTCTGTCAAATAAATAAATAAAATCTTTATTAAAAGAAAGATTTTAAAAAAGTTATCCTCTGGAAAACAAAACCAAAAATAAATCATAACAACAAGCATTTGATTAGGTCCTCTCTGCCATTCTCACAGACTTTTAGAACCGTAGATGGTCAAAGTTGGAAGGAACCATCTCCAACTTGAGTCTCGTATTCCCACCCCATCACTGCTGGTAAGAGCTTGTCAGTCCTGTTCTTGACTGATCCCTCTTACTGTTCGAGGCCTTACCTATCATTTCCTGCGGGTCCGCTTCCACTGTGAGTCAGCTCCAGTTGCAAGGAAAGGTTTGGAGCTCAACTGAAACGCCCCTCCCTGTGGCTCCCTCAGCCACCCACAGGACAAGGCTAATGGCTCTGGGCATGTTATCCTTCATGCACATGACCTTGCCCCAGCACTTGGCCTTTTCAGCTCAAACGCCTGAAATGTTTTCATAATTTCCTTAGATGTAAGCCCTAGATACATCACCCTACTGGTTCAGCTCCTCCAGCCACAGTAGCCGTGACCCTGGTACAGTGAGGCAGCCCAGTGTGTCTGGGGGTGCTCGAAGCATTCTATAGCTTGATCTGGATGGTGGTTACACAGATATAAACATACATAAAAATCCATTCACATATACACACATATGTACACTTAGGATTTGTGTCTTCTATTGTAAGCAAGCTATGGTTTGATAAAATAGTGAAAAGTAAAAGTAAGTAAACAAAAACGAAGTGAGAACTCTCCGTGAACACAATATCCAGCCTCCTTAGAATTGAAGCCTGCCTTCCTGCCTTCTTCTTCCTTTCCTTTCCTTTCTTTCCCTTTCCTTTTGGCCTGCAGGGCCCCTGTGCTGGGACAAGCAGGCAGGGAAACTGGCGCAGCTGTGACGTTCTTTCTGTCGTGGGGGTGCTTTGAGAGCCTGCAGGGGGAAACATCTCGTCTTGCCTGGGAAGGCTTTCTTCCTGGACTGTTGCGGAAGGAGGAATATGGGAAAAGGTTTTGCTTAATCTCTCTTCTTATTCTTCTTTGTCTCTATTTTTCGGTATCATCACCTTGTCTACCTTCTTCAAGAAATTTCTCCAGAAAAATCCTACCCAATCCCCGAATTCCAGCAAGCCCCTGATCCCCTCCTGGCCCCCTATAATCTTCAGGGTCAGCTGTTACACCCAGGGACTGCCGGCTTCCTCTTCCTGCCACCCTGCCTCCCCTGCGGCCAGTTAAACGGTGAGTTAGTTCGTAAGGGCTAGGACTATATTTACCATATTATATTTTATTTGCCAACTCACCCCACCCACATCCAGGTGCCTCACAGAGTGCCTTGCAGTTAGCAGGTCCCGGATAAGTAGATGGGTACTGAATTATTTGCACATTGCCCTTATAATTATTTTTGGGTTTTCATCTATGTATCTTATCTCCCAATGGTAACAAGTTGCCTAAGGACAGAAGCTGTCCTCTATTTCTTCTGTGTCGACTGTCCGAATGTCTAGCCCTCCCTGGGCACCTTGGGGTCGTTCTTCAATTATAACGACAAAACCTTGGATGGTCCCTTAGCCACTCTCAGGTTTCCTCCCACGTGCATTGGAAGGAAATTATCCCCGACCCTCACTAGCTCTGGAAAGCAGTTTGAGACCCCAAAATAAGGGAAGATGGACTAGAGAGGCAGAAAAGATCTATGGGAGTGAAGGGTCCTCAGGCGCTTGCAGACTGAAATCTGTTTATTTGCCTCAAGGGTCACCTCCTCTGGGAAGCTTTCCTTAACCTTCCTAGGGTCCTTCCTTGGGGGTCCATCCTAAATCATTGCTCAACGTCTGTGCAGTGCCTCTCCTCCAAGGAAGGGCCATGAGCTTGGCTCTTCACTGAGTGCCAGGACTGGCTTTTTGGTGAGATCTGTTCACCCTCTCCTGACTCCCTGACTCCTGCTTACACCTGGACGTTGATCAGCAACCCATCAATCACCTGGGATCAAGCTCTGCATCTGGGCTCCCAGCTCAGTGGGGAGCCTGCTTCTTCTCCTTCTCCTTCGCAACCCCCCCACACCACTTGTGCTCTCCCTCTCTCTCAAATAAATAAAATATTTTTAAAAAAGAATGTATAAAAAGAAAAGTTTTGATGATCACAGCCTAGAGCCTTTCGTCTGGACTTGGACCTGATTTCACATTTGGCAGGATCCTCTCAGTGACTGTGGGCCTGCTTTGGGTCCCCAGGACCCTCTGGTCTCTGCTTCCCCGGCTCGGAGGAAGGCAGGCAGGAGCAGTAGAAGTCTCCAGTTTAAGGTCATTAAGCACATCTGCTGTTCCTCTGGCCATTGGGAAATGAGGCCACCTCTCCCCTACTTCTGGATTTTATCTTCACAGCCCCAGCATCATCTCCTTGCTGGCCAGAGTGTGCAGAGTGGATTGGCAGGCTGGGTCTGGGCTCAGCACTGAGGGATGGGGGGAGTGGCAGACAGCTTGGTGCCAAGAACTGTATCCAGATGACCCGGCCACCTTACCCCACAGGAATGCCAACAGCGGAGATGGGTATGCGTAGGAAGATCTCCTTTGCCAACTATCTGGATGAACCGAGTTATCAGCCTGTGTGGGTGGGGGGTGGTGACTGCGGGTGCCAGGAGGGACCAGGAGAGACAGGAGTGGGTGAGATGGCCCAGGAGCCTCTTAAGAATGAGACCGGTGGCCACGCGCATCCTGGAGAGAATACTGGTGGTGCTGAATATGTGTTAGTGGTTAACGGGACTAGTTGAAGCTAGCCTCACGTTGAGGGTTGGAAGGACCCTCTGAAATTATCCTTCCACCCAGACACCCAATCCCATTTACAGCACTGCCCAGGGAGCCACTCGGCCTCAACTTTAGTGTGCCCGGGCTCGGAGTCAAGCTGTGAGATGTGTGCAAAACTGAGCCTTGGTTTCCTCCTCTCTTAAAATGGGGGTAATGAGGGCACCTGGCTGGCTCAGTCCGTAGAGTGGGAGACTCTTGATCTCGGGGTTGTGAGTTCAAGCCCCATGCTGGGTACAGAGCTTACTAAAAGAAAAAGAAAATGGGGAGAATAATACCTCCCTTACTGTGAGAAAGTGTAGACAGGGTGTGATACAGGAGCTGGTGTACCAGGCTCAATGAATTCTCCTCCTCCTCCTCGTCCTCCTTCCCAACAACAGCACAAATCGCTCTCCTGGTCTATACGCTAGCACAGGGGCTAGCGAAGTATGTCCCCGGACCAGCAGCATCAGGATGTCCTGGGAACTCCTTAGAAATGAAGATCCTTGGGGCGTCTGATTGGCTCAGGTGGTTAAGCCTCCAACTCTTGATTTTGGCTCAGGTCATAATCTCAGAGTCGTGAGACCGAGCCCTGCATCAGGGCTTTGCACTGGGCGTGGAGCCTGCTTTAAGATTTTCTCTGTCTCTCTTCCTCTGCTCTGCTCCCCCAACAACCCCTTACCCTCTCTCTTACCACTTACCCTCTCTCTTAAAAAAAAAAAAAAAAAAAAGTGAGAAGGAGGTGAAGATTCTCTACTGACTGGTTGGCTCAGTCAGTAGAGCATGTGACTCTTGGTCTTGAGGTTGTCAGTTTGTGCCCACGTTGGGCAGAGA